ATCTTTGATTTGGCATGCTTGATTCTGAGGAGGGTCTTTTTCAGGATCGACTTGGACAGAGTGAAGCGATGAGAGCTTTGTGCGAGACCTGCCCAATCAATGTTTAGCAGTGAAAAGCTTCGCGTTTTGACACGCCTTTGCAGTATCTCATCATGTCCTCGTCGGCCATGCAATGCTCGTGCCGAGCATTGTAGCCTAGTGCGCAACCAATTCAGGAAACAACGCAACTGGAAAACCAATAGGCAAGCAGCGCCGGCGAACCATGTCTAATAGCTGGTGATGCAGCGCCTAGTCATGATGATGCAGCTGATGCATGCCAGGAACACATCGACTAAAACAGCCCATATGCAGCCAAGCTGCGTGACACTTTGGGATCTGCACCCATCTGATTTGGCCCCGCCTGGCACAGGCCAACTAGCACCGGCCGGAGCAGCTGCTGAGCTCAAGCCCCTAGAATCTGATCATCAAGGAATGCCAGCTGGTTATTTCAAAATCCTTATCCCCCCCAAAATTTGGCCACCTGGCCTGCCATAAATCCTGCACAGCTTTTTCGCAAGATTCAGGTACTTGTACCCGTGGGACTTGATGGTCACAGCTTCATCCACACTCCTAGAATTGCAAAAGCACATGCTGATTCGAACATCCTCCCATGACATGAAATCGTGGTTGCCACACGCATGATACTGGGGGTCAAGCAAGTATCGTCCAGCCCGTTCCATGGCCAAGACCATGTCGTTGCCAGACGCCCTCAGAGAGGCGGGCAGGGCCAAACTTGTGGCACTGAAGTCGTGATCCTATTGCGGTTTGAGTAAATTGCATAGTCTCATGAGCCAGGCTTCATGCACCCAGCCATAGTCATGTGCTCCTCAGAAGGCTGTTGCCCAGCAAGAGCCACGGCGCATTCTGCCAGCCAAGCTGTGATCACACGCCCGTTAAAGGCTTTGTGTGTCATCCAGGGCTCTCCATGAGAAAAGACCTTGCAGGTGCCAGCGCGCTATGGTCTGCCAAGTTGCCGGAAGCCCAAATGGAATGTGATTCAGGGACATGACACGCTGACATGATGTCTAATCAAGCCAAGCGGCCAGCGAAACTGTGAATGATGGCTGAGAACAAGAAACTTTGTTTCTTGTTTTCCATGTCTTAAAATGTTGAAAAGCTTCTCGAAGGGATTCTGGAAATGATAGCGAGGCGTCTGCGAAGAAGCCGGCCTCGATCAAGGTGATCCTTAGATTCCAAGGGGGAACCAAACGTGCCTTCTCAGAGACATGTTTGTCTAAAAGCTGGCATTTTGCTTGATTGTTTCTGAGTTGATCAAATCACTACCCAAACTAAGTGGAATGGGTGGAGTTTGCATTCATGAGTGTGGGTAACAATCATGTCAGGGAGGAATTGGGAGAATGTTGGAAAGCTCCAAGCCCACTGACCTGGCGAATTGGCTGAAAAGGGTTAACTGGCAGATTGGGTGAAAAGATATGTGTCCCAGCATTGATCCTTCCTGGTGTTGAGCTTTGAGGTATAATAATATATATATATATAAATATGGGTCCGCTACCATGACCAATACATTGGGAATAGGAATGAGGAATTGGAGCGCAGTCAATCAATTTAACCCAAACTGGTTTCATCTAGATCCAGCAAATGTGGCCCCATACAATGCCTTATCAGTGGGGCGCAGTGGGACCCCTCGCGTATGTGTTGCTGAGCCCTCCAATTCCAAATGCAGGCAGGAAGCAGGGCGGAGGCATTTGTTCTTTGGAATGTTCCAAGGTGCACATTGTGTGCAAAGCAAAATCGCACCATTGTGCAGTGAAAGCCAATGATTCCAAAAAGTGGACCTCAGAAGTGATCAGATTCAACATCAACAAGGGGCCTGCATGGCTTTGAATTATGAATCAGGTGATCTTGCTCACACTTGATTGAAGCAGTTGGCTAAAGAAATATCATATCGTAGTTAATTAGGCCATGTAGCACAAGGGCCCATCTTTGACCATGCTGTTCAAGAACTGCACGTGGCTGCTCTCATTGGACGTCCATGCTGCGTCATCAGAAAAATCCAAGAATGATTCCCCAAGATTGCATCGCAGTCTCTTTGCTGGGCATTTGAAACAAATGCAAATTGAATTCCACCTGTTCCGTAAATTCAGTGCAAACATATGCCATGCCCAATCCCCTCTGAGCTCCGTCAGTGCAAACTTGAGGCAGCCAGAAGGATGCTGGGCGCTCCTGCAGATGGGATCGCCCTCGCACGAGGCCCGCAAGTTCGGCGGGAGACTGCCCCCAAGGTAGCCAGCTGATGGCCGGTCTCCATTGTAGAGATGGTTTAAACACCAGCGCAGGTAGTCATAGATGGGCCAAATCGTGTTTCTCCCTGTGCTCATGCTTTCCCGGATCACAAAGACCAGGAACCTCGAATTTCGGGTTGACCGCGGGTTAAATAAAGGAAAAGACATAGTGATGCATACGATCTTCTCGCAGAGACCGCTGGAGGTAGTGTATTTGGCCTCGTCCCCATACAGGCCTATTGGCACGTGAGAACAACCATCCTCCACTGCTGGGTGCCCGGCACCCCACTCAAAGAATTGGCGGGCATGCTCCCAAAAGTAGGTGATTGCTGCTTCATCAATATGCAAGCCATGATCTTCGAAGAGGTATTGGACTAGGGACAGGACGTTCACAACTGGCAGGTGTTGCTTCTTGATCCCCATCCCCATCTCATGGAGGTCAACCTCTGTCTCTACACTGACCAAATCCTGAAAATGATGCACATGGCATCACTCTTGCAAACTGATACAAGTTACCATCAACCCATACGCACAGTTGATTGCACATGTGGGAATGTAACTCAGGACCCCGCAACAGGCAAAGCTGCCTTTGACCAGAAGTCCCGGGAAATGTTGGACCGTTCTCCGATTTTGGCCAGTTGCTGCACGCCAGGACTGAGATTGGCATTTCGCAGGCTGGCTTCCTGCAGGCGTGGAAAGACGATGGTGTGGGGATGGTTGGAGGCACAAATGAAATAATAACTCTTTGCACTGATGTGCCAGGCCTGTTGGGCTGCACTGGCATTTCTCGTGATGTTCTCTACGCTGGCCTTGAATTCGAATTAGCACTGGGACGCCACGCAGTGCAAGTGTGCCGCTAGGCCACCCCATCCCCAACCTGGGCCTCCAAGTAGTCCAAGAAAGGAGCATGACCAGTACCTGGAAACACTTGCTTGTGATCGTGACTAAGTCCCTGTTTATATAGAGGGGCAAGTGCGCCTTCAATCTGGATCGAACAAGTGCAGCAAGCTCAACAGCCATCGCTTCTTTTTTTTCCAGGATTCATGCCATCGATCAATCGAGATGCTGAAAAGCTGCTACAGAGCTATTCATTCCAAATGCAAATTTGCATGCGGTTGCCAGAAATCATTAACTGATCAATCCCAAAAGCACATGAATGGTCCAATTCTGCACATCCTAGCCAGGGGAACCACCCCCCAATAGGAAACATGCATGCCCTTTTGTTATCGCATAGGTCTCTGGCTATGGCTTGCAAACTTGCATGCCCCGGTTTCCAAGCAGTGATTCACTGCTTCAAAGCCCCGGTACCCCTCTCCTCCTAGCTGGTCTCCTTTTTCTTTGGCGCCTCGGTGTGCAGGCAAAGAGGAATCTTTTAGACAGGCCCCTGCCCCCCAGGAAAAAAGAACATATATATAATATTATATCTATATATGACCCCCCTAGGAACTTGAGAGGGCAAGTTTTATAGCCCCGGGAGCAATTGAAGCAAATTGTAATTATATATATATATATAATTATATATTCAAAGGAGAATGGTTGGGTGTCCCCCCACTAATTAGTCAAGTGGATCTTGTTCTTTTAGGCAGGGTGGTACAAGCCTGAAAAAAGAATAAATCACAGGGGCTTTTTTTTGGAACCTTAGTCAGGTGGATGGCTCAGTGTGGGCCAGGGGGGGGGGGGTTGGGGGGCAGGTGGTTGGCGTGGCGCTGCTGGCAGTGGCGTCGCAGCTGCTGGCAGTTGCCACTGGAGCACCTTGCCAGCAACATGGATTGGTGAACATGTGGGCCGCAAAGTTGAGAAGCAGGTTGAAATTGGATCCGGATAGCTGGTCCTTGACTGAAACATCCTAGCTATATTGTTGCCTTAAACATACTCAAAACAATTCATCAGGCTGCCCGTGGATTTAAATGATGCTAAAACAACATGGAACATGGCTCCCATCAGGCGCATCATTGCATGATTGTGACCAGTTTTGTTTTTAAGAGAAGGACGTCCATAACAAGCACAGCCCAATTTGCAATTGTTTTAGAATAACAGATCTCACAAATGTCCAACTCATGATCATGTACACTGATGTCATGACCATTAAGGTACATGCTGCTGGCGTGGGCAAATGCTGCTTGTCCAACGCAGGCAAGAGGGTGAGGTGTCAGGGCGTTTGAATGGGGCTTTTCTTCGTGCAGTAATATTTATTTTGCAAGATGATGGAAACAGTGATGAAAAACCATCCCAAATCATCACGCTAATTTAGTACAAGACCTTGGCCCCTGCAGGCCCATAGCCAACCCATTGCGAATTCTAAAGCATAAACTTTTGGGAAAAGCATCGAATATCGCTGATGTTTCAATATTTACCCAGCCAAGTTTCAATGCAGCTTTCCGGGGCCCCTTGATATGTCCTTTCCAAATGGCCAGTGAAAAAGATCATGCATGCTGAGCTCTCCAAGGCCCCCAATTCATATTTGGGTCAATGGATCCCTCTCGAAATGGCAGTAGATATTTGATCATATATTTTCTTCAGGGATCATTTCAATTTTGGGTCGATCGGTGGCCCTCATATAGTTCATTGGAACGTTCAACGCTTTCCCTTGTGTAAACTCGTGAGGCAGGAATCTCGAACATGGCCAGGGGAAAATAATAATATATAATTATATATTAGCAGCCTTGCTACATCACATGCGTTGGATTTGGCTGGCGTTTTTCCTCTCAAGCGGCCACAATGGAGCGTGGCAGAGTCCCGAAGGTGATCGGGCCACGCCCGCAGGCGGAGATGGGGCGCGGCCCGGTGGTGGTCCCCCCACCAATGCGGAGGATCCGGAGGCCTCTGCCGCCGAATCGGCCGCCTCCAGCGCATTTGCTGGAGCCTTGACCTGCATTTTATCAGTGTTCTTTTTTTTTCCTTTCTGTGGCGTTTTCATCCCTTGAAACTGGGCCGATTGATTCATTGATTGATCAGCTTAGGAGAGGCCGTGGCGGTGGAACGACGATGGGACATGGGATTGGATCGCTCCGAAGAGACGCCCACGCTCGCAGCCTGATCATCGGCCTCATCATGATGAAGAAGCAGCGGCGGCGCCCATGGAGCAGATGGATCTGGATCCGGAGGACGATGAGATGGAGGAGATCGTCATAGAGGACGACGACGAGGTGCTGGAGCAGCACTTGCCGGATCGCGAGGAGGTCCAGCTCGAACTGAGCCTGGCCGCGAAGCGCCAGAAGATCAGCGTGGAGGGGATGTTGGCTGCCTCAGCTGCTCAGGCAGCAATGCGGGCAGCTTCGGCTGCTGAAGAGGCCAAAATGCTGGCGGTGTCAGCTGCCAATGAGGCAGAAGCAGCATCAGCCATCAGGCTGGTGGCGCAAGCTGCTGAGGAGGCGGCGGCGCAGGCAGCTTCGGCTGCTGAGGAGGCAAACGCACTGGCAGATTCGGCTGCTCAGGAGGCGGCGGAGGAGGCTGCGGCGCTAGCTGCTGAGGTGGTAGCGGCACTAGCTGCTGAGAAGACAGCGGCGCAGGAGGCGGCACTAGCTGCTGAGGCGGCGGCGCAGGAGGTGGCGGCGCTAGCTGCTGAGGAGGCGGCGATGCAGGAGGCGGCAGCACGGGCTGCTGAGGAGGCAGCGGCGCAGGAGGCGGCAGCACGGGCTGCTGAGGAGGCGGCGGCGCAGGAGGCGGCGCTAGCTGCTGAGGAGGCGGCGGCGCAGGAGGCGGCGGCGCTAGCTGCTGAGGCGGCGGCAAAGGAGGCAGCGGCGCTAGCTGCTGAGGCTGCGGCGCAGGAGGCAGCGGCGCAGGAGGCGGCGGCGCTAGCTGCTAAGCAGGCGGCGGCAGCACAGGCTGCTGAGGCGGCGGCAGAGGTGGCGGCAGCACGGGCTGCTGAGGCGGCGGCGCTGGAGGTGGCAGCACGGGCTGCTCAGGCGGCGGCGCAGGAGGCGGCAGCACAGGCTGCTGAGGAGGCGTCGGCAGCATTGGCTGCTAAGGAAGCGGCGGTGCAGGAGGCGGCAGCAAAGGCTGCTGAGGCGGCGGCGGCAGCTTTGGCTGCTGAGGAGGCGTCGGCAGCATTGGCTGCTGAGGATCCGGAGGTCTCACCCTTGTGCAGCCCGACAAGTTGCGCGCTAGAGGGCTCCCCATCCTACGAGCCAACAGAATCGGCAGGTAGTCCGGATTGCATCGCCGTGGACTACTTTTAGATCATGACCCAGTGCTACATACATGCACGCAGCAAGGCCACTAAACAACTTATAAGGAAACCCGCAATAGCTAGCTTGAACTCCTCACAAATCATGCATCATGATCTGTACAGTACATGTACATGTGGCACTGGGACAAGCAAGATCGGAATCGACTCGGAGACAAAAAGATCATGATCAGATCTGATCGATGCTGGCATTGGCGTTAGGGGGTTTGCTGTAGTTGCGTGTTGGCTTCGAACTTAGATGTATCGACATGCTGAATGTGATCACCATTTGGGTTTGGGACCGAAAATGAATCATCCTTGTTGGGCCTCACTCACCCATCGTGCGGGCAGGCTGCCTGCTGCCACTGCCATCTGCAGCTGCAGCAGCTGCTCCCGCGGCAGCACCACAGGGGATGGTGGACGGCTATATAATTATATAATTATATATCATACAGATATCCCCGATGATCAATTTATATATCTATGCGATATCAATTTATAGGGCCAATGGAATCGAAGGGTTGCAATACTTGTTGCAGTGTACTTGTGCATCCATCATGCCCGCAATTGATGTTCAAACATGCGTAATCAGGGGCGCATGTGCATTTATAAAATGGCCACCTCCCACCAGCACTTACTTTTACCCTCATAAGTTGAAAAGCCAATTGCAGCCTTTTCTTGCCCCTACAAACCCTTTCTGGACTGAACATTCTCGCACTTCATGAGTTGTTCAAAGCAATGCAGCTTTTGGGGACCTTGGCTACTTTGACAAGGGGCAGAAATGTGCTTCTTCAAAGCCTTCAATGCAGACTTGTACTGCTCGATCAGCTTCTTGGCCTTGTCCATGATTTCCACAGCCTCGCAGACCATAATATATATATATACATATAGATCGATCTAGATCTAGAGATCTTGCAATTCCAACAATTAATATGGACCCACTAGTTATATTATAATCATCCTGATCCAATTCAAATGGAGTGAATTGAAGGGTGAATGGCTCCTGTGCAAATTTGTTTGCAGTTGGTTGGAACAAAACACGGGTCATGTGGGCACTCTTCAAATCCGGACATGCTTCAATTCGTTTGTTTTGCCCTTCCCCCCCCCTGCCCTTCATGTTGTTTCGAAGGGATGTGGTTCACAAACAAGCATTGGTTCACAAACAAATCAAGCACAAGTTCAAGGGATCTTGTTGCATGATGTGGCGTTAACGGTCCACCCTGTGCAAAATAATCTCTGGCCTCATCACCCATGGCAGGCTCCAGGGATTCCCGCATCGACTTGAGGCCATTGACCGGGCTGCTGACATCGGCCACCAGGGCTTCGATCAGGTGGTCAGCCCTGAGGCCGGATTGGGTCAAGGGAATACACTTTAATGATTTTCATGTGTACCATCACGCCACCAGTCAAACATCCTTGAGTGTCTGGCACATGGTTGGATGACAATTTGTCACGCCAGGTTCCAACTTCAGCACAAATGGCGGCAATCTCTTGCAAAGCCTGCGGCATGTTGAGTCAAACTGCGCACAAGTGAAATCGATACGATATGCACATCTTATTGTGATCAGTATGGACAGCCGGCCTTCTTCTTCAACACATCAAAGGATGGCACCTTCTTCACTGGGGATCCGGAGGCCTCCTTTTTGGTGCGGCCGCCCTTCTTGTTTTTCTTCTTGCTGTTTTTCTTCTTCTTCTGGGCCCCAGTCTTTGTCTCCGCTGGGTTCACATCGGCATCTTGCCTGAGCAAAACGACAATTGAGGATCTTATGATGAGGAATGTGCTCAACAAAGGCGGATGCCCTATACTGCATGCACCATGCAACTTGCTTGCATGAGCAATATTAACATTAGTAAAGATACTCGTCATCACTCCCATCTGAAGAAGCACACAGCTCAGCACGCACTGCCATTTCGTCCTCTGATTCCTCGAGCTCGGCTTCTTCGTCGAAGCACAGAAACTGCATCTGTTCCTAGATGAACAGGGCATAATCGGGACTAGCGGTTCTCCAGAGTGCATTGGACTTTGTATCTCAGCCCCCCACATCAAAACACACACCAACAAGCTGTCAGGATAGGCAAGGCACCTTTGCCAGCTTGGGGTCCTTGAAATCCGGGTGAGGCCTGAAGCAACCCTCTGCCTTCTTCTTTTCATTGATGAGCGCATCCACCAAGGACTCATCCCCTGAATACCTCATGATCATGATCGCGCAGTTGCAACCATGTTCATTTCATGTGTGTGTAGAATGCTGAGCTGGTTCTGGGTCCCAAAATATCGATCTTGGAGACAAGGTGCTGGCCCAGAAGCTGGGACCGCGTTTTCCAAACCTTCTTCAGGCTTTTTTTGGACCGGCTCTTGTGGCTGAGTTCTTTTAGGGTGCGGGATTTGGTCCACTTCCCCCGACATTGAAAAAAGTCTTCCAGGAGGTCGCTCATGGCCTCATCGTTGTTGCCTCGGATTCAGCGCAGGGCTCAGTGTGCAGGGCAGGGCCGTCAAACTTAAAGATCCAATATTAATGGTGTATACCATATAGGACTAGCATCAATTGTGCGACCAAGCAAACATGAGCACAGACCAGTCACATGTAGACATGCCGAGCAGGTGACAGCAGTGGCAACTCAGGTTTGCACCACATCGCGCTTTGACACCAGCCTGCCTTATTTCCCTTGGCGTTTTGCCACCTCGCCATGGCACAGCGACCGATCGATATAACTTATAGGTATATATATATATATATATATATTATATATGTACAATTATAATGCACTCGCCATTGTGCACACACACACACACTTGCGTGATGCAATGAGTCTAAGAACAGCGCTTCTCAGGCTTCTCAAAAATCTCATGTAGTGATTTCTGCGAGCCTTCAGCTGTTCGTCGGTCAGGTGTTGCTCTGCATCTGTGTCAGCAAAGTCAGCCCCTTGGCCGGCTATGTCGCAGGTGGTGGCGCGCTGCAAAGCGGCTTCAGTGGCCGCCTTGACTGAAGCATCTTCAGATGCATTGGCAGCTTTGCTTCCCTGGCTTGGTGGTGTTGCTGCCTGCGCGTCTGCAGTTGCAGCTCGTTGAACCTCTTTCCAGCCATGTGTGATGTTGTCCCAAACCCACTCGCGGCCTGACCACCATGTGGATTGTTCTGCCGGCTTCACTGCAGCTGGGTCCTGGTCTTGTGCAGGCTTTGTCTTTGACGCTGGTGCCTTTGGTTTGCTCGACTGGCTGACATCAGGCTTGCTGGCTTTTGGCTTCTTGGCACCTGGCTGATCACCTGGTGTCTCAGCAGGTTGTGTGTCACCTGGCCCGGCTGGAGCAGGTCGCTTCTTATCCTTGCAGGGCTTGGTTCCTGGAGCGCTTGTGCTCTTTGGCTGGCTGGCATTGGTGTCACTAGGCGCCTTTTTTTTCCCCTGGCCTTCCTTGGCAGGGTCAGTGGCGCCTTTTGCATTGCTTTGCTTTGCAGGGGCCGGTTCCTTGAGGTTGGTCTTGCTGGTGCCGGCGATTTCCTTGAGTGTCTGTTGGCCCCCTTTTTTGATCACCTTTGTCTTGTTGGCTGCATCGCCTGTTTTGCTTATTGCCTTTGACTTGGCTGCTGCCATTCCGGATGAGCTTGTGCGAGCGCCCTCCTTTGTGGCAGTTAGCTCCTCCTCTGACCCTGCAGAAGCACATTGACCAGCTAGATCATGATCATGGTCTGCGTGATTTTGAACCAACTGCACACACACATGTCATGATATTATATATATACTTTTATTAGGCAGTGCAGCGGGAAACCAAGCCTGGAATTGTATCAGCCACCTCCACCACTGCCATGATCGGTTGGGATCCTGCACAAATCTTGAGTCTGGATCTCTTTTGTGTCATAAATACAATTTCTGCCTTGCCTGCTCGAGGTTCTGACCCTGCTTCTGGCCCTGGAGCTGGCCTAGGCCGAAGGGAAGTGACGAGTTGAGAGGAGGCTTCACACACTTGCTGGGGCCAGCACTTGTCTTGTTGTGGCTTCCCAGACGCCATTGTGCTAAAGGCCACTAGCCGGTTCTGCAAAAACACCAAAACATGTGTGAAAAACCTGGCGATTGTGAAATCACGGTCAAATGCTGTAAATCACGGTCAAATGCCTTGAAATCACGGTCATATGCCTTGAAATCACGGTCAATGGCCACAAAATCACGGACAACAAAATCAAGCAATTTCAAGACCATGGTCAAAGTTCAACCGTTGACCTAGGCTGACCTGAGCAAGCAAAACATGGTACCTTTTTTCTTGAGCACCCACTGATCACTCGACTTCAGGCTTCTAATTGTTGATGCTTGAATTATTGCACAAGCAGATAGCTTGCACACACCTTGGCCATATTGCACCAAGCCCCACCACAGCTCCAGCTAGCATGCTAATTAGTTGTCCCCAGGAATTGCGGTTTGAAAGGAAACGTCGGCTGGAAGCTACCATCCCGGATGCAATTGAGCAGGTATTGCTCAATTTCACAAAGCCTTGCGTGCTCCCAGCCGCACGGTGCTTCCTGCGCAGAAACAGTGCCAATGAATCAGATCTAGAACAGTCAATTTGCGCATGTTACTAGTGTACACCTGTGCTCCCTTTGCGTGAATACGTTTTCATCCAACCCTCAACCTTAAATCTAGTCCCTCTCAGCTGGCGGCGCCAGGTGTCAGTTCGAGTCAGCGCCGGCTGAAGGGAGGCAATGGACAAGGGGCACCCGGGGGGAGGCAAAATGTGGACCTTAAAGCAATATATGAATGCAGCCCCCCAGAAATTTTAGGAAGGGCAGGAGGTATTAAGTCAACAATCGAGCAGAGGGGCACCCTCAATAAAACAGCTGGGACACAGGACCTGTCTGGCTTGTTTGGGATCTCAACGGGTCGTAATGTATATTATCTAGATCGTATATCGATCTATATATATCTAGTATATAGCCCCTATTTTGAGGCGAATTGGACACATGATTTGCCTACAAGCTCGCACATACCAACAAGCCATTTGTCATTAAAGTACTGGCCAGTACAGAC